ACACACCTACCCCAGCCAAAAACGCCCAGGGCTCTGTACCGTTCCAGCGGCTCCTTGGCCAGCCCTACTACTGGCAGCACTGGGCACAGGGAGCCTCCACTGCGCACGCAGACAGAGCTCTCACGTGGGAAACGGCCCCCAGGTGTGATTGGTGTACGTGATCAGGAAAATTTCATGTTTCTCCGCAGCACAAACATGGGTTCTTTTCTTTATTCGTCAGACATCTGCTCAGTGGGTAACAGGAGCCAGGCTGCGCTGCCTCCTGGGACTAGTAAAGACTAATAACGCACATTTTTGTCCTCACAGAGCTGAAGTCTAGCCTGGAAGGTGGAGGGCAGCTCAGGAGGTGCAGTCCAAGTCCCTGCAACGGGGGCGGGAGCGAAGCCTGTGTAGAGGCTGTGCCTGGGCGGCAGGGCCCCAGGCGGGGAGGAAGCAGGTCCTGCAGGCACAGGGCCTGCAGCCACATTCCTGAAGCAGCAAAATCGTGAGCTCAGTATGCCCCAAGCCCTGAGGAGGTGAGGAGAAAGGGGAAGGTGAATTTTCTTATTCAGAGATGTTTCTCAGTCGCTGCCGCTGCCGTTTGTCACACTGCTGGGTTATTGACACCAGGCTGAAGAATCTCACTATAGTGCCACAAGGGGAGGACCTTGGCTTGTTGTGACTGAGTGTGGCCTTGGGGACAGCGCTCCAGGCCCGGCAGGACAGCACTCAGTCTGTGCTGGGGAAAGCAGGCAGCCGGTGCAGAGTGCTGGGACTGGTGCGGAGTGCTGGGACCGCTGGAAGGCAGCTTCTGGGCTAGACCCAGGGCAGCCCCGAGCCAGCAGAGGGTCCCCGTAGGGTAGGAAGTGGAAGAAGGGTGACATGTAGGGGCAGGGGACGTCTCAGTCTGTACCTGTCTATAGCATTTTAATGCTCAATCCTTGATACCTACACGTTTGAGGACATGTGCGGAAAAGATGGAAAGCATGCCGGTGATGTTGCTGTGGGCCTCAGGTACAGCATTCAGGGTTCCTGTCGACGTGGGCACGTCAGGCCTGAGAAAGGCTTTGTTGATATTTAAAATACTGGCAGAACATGAATGTGTCTATATATATATTGATATTTAAGTATCTTGCCTCACTTGGTGAGTGGGGAGTGCACTGTGCCCAGGGTGAAGGCCTGAGGAGGAGAGGAAGTCTTCAGCCACGCAGCGGATGTCCTGCTGAAGTCATGACGGATCGCGAGCTCTGTGGCCAGTCAACAGAAATCCCTACTGTGGCATTATTTTCCCAGGCACCACCAGTTTTATTGCTCCCACCATTGTGAAAACTCTGTGGATATAAACATCTCAGCACGGCCCTCCCTCTGTCCTCAGATGGTAGCATCCTAGGTGATGGTGACAGTCCACCGAAGGCTCACCCCAGAGCTATTTTCTTGTTGGAAACTTGCTTTCCTTTCCAGCACCCTTGCTCATAACAAGGGATAAACTCTCTGACCCAGTAGATGCGAAGCCTGACCCTGTGTCGCTGTGACTGTCTCCATGTCCACATCAGGACGTGTGTGGGAGGGAGTTCGTGTGAAATTTCTCAGGGCTTGGGTCGCCATCCCAACTCCTTCAGCCTTCTCCATCAGGCATGGTGGTCTGTTGGTCTGGTTTTAATTCCTGTGTTCCTACTTCTCCATGAAACAAACCTTACAATCTTTATTAAGGAGAATAAAGGGAGAGTGTCTCCCTAGGACATCTTTTGCCAGAATATTCAGAGGAAGAAAACCTGCCCCGACCTTACGGTGCACCTTGTAGAAGGCAGGGCCTTGGCCGTGGGCTTCTCCTGCTCCATTGTTGTATCTGTTTGCAAACTGCAGCTGTGGCTGCAGCAACAATGACATACACTCTTCATCTTCCAGCCTTGCCTTCGCTCTTCTTCTCTTCCTTGCATCCCTTTTCCCCACTTAAAAACATAAATTCCTGAAATCCTGAGACACAGAAGAATCAAAGTTGTGTGCTGGCAGAAGGGGGCTTACTCAGAAAAGAATATTTCATATTCCTGTTCTTTCCTCTCCTCCACCTGCCTTCCACTCTGGCCTTCACACGCCACCGCCGTAGCTTGATCTGGGAGAAAACAGGCACAGCAAGATGGAGCCTGTCGAGAGGGCAGCTTGGGGCAGATTCCCACTGGCGGCGCCCCGTTGTTCACCCGAGCCCTGAGTCTCTGCCAGGTCTTCTCAGCAAGCCTGTGCCACCCAGGGTGTGTGTCACCTGCTGGCTGCCATCCTGCACATGTGTAGTTTCAAGTCCTGTTTCCTCTTCTGTTTAATGAGGGCCTTGGCCTAAGTGTACTCATAATTTGGGCGAGTGAGTGGGCAGTCGAGAGAGTCCACCCCAGTCCCCTTAGCCAGCGAAGCAGGAGTTCCCAGGTTCCCGCCTGCGGAGAGTGTAGGGGCAGTTTGACTCGGTGAAAATCTGTGTATTATAAACAGATATGTAAATGACCCCTGCGAGTGCTAAAAATGAAGGTATGAAAAGGGATCATCCTCATCCGTGGTTCCCACCTGGCACAATGACCTTATCAAAACGGAGATCTGGTAGCATGCACCACACAGATACCGAGGACACATCTAAGTTCTTACACCCTGACTTGCGTGCCTCAAATTCAGAATTAGTAAGCCCTGAGTCAGTGATGCTTCATTACGCGCCTGTGAGCCATGTTTGAGGAGCTTCACTGTGGATGCATGGGCTTGATTGACTTGTGGAACCTCTGGTTTAAAAACAAAGGAAGGTGCCCTCATTCTCAGAACCGGGTGCTTTTCTGCTGCTCTGGCCCCCTGGGCTGAGTCTTTACTGGGACAGCGGTCGATGCTTCTCAGTTTATTTGTCAAAACCCTCAGCTAAAGCCAGTTGTTGCTTGAAAACTCCCTGCTTAATAAGCCTCCTCCGCTAGGGGAAGCAGCTTGCGACCTGAGGCTGATGCCTGGCTCCCTGACCACCCACTCCCCATGGTGCTCAGCTCCCATTCCTGCAGCCCAGACCATAACCCACCTCATTAGTGTATTGATGTGAGGCAGAAACACCTCATTATAAGAGCTCCCCTGAGAAACTGCAGGGGCCAGGGCTTCTGGGCTGCATCACCAGCAGATTGCCTCTGCAAAACCCCTCCTGCCTCAAGGGAAAGGGTCAGCCGTGCAGGGCTGCGCTGGAGAATCCTTCTCTTCTTGATCCTCAGACATCTTCTTAAAATCCCGGTCCTCTGTTCTTCATGGCCTTCATCCTCTGGAGAGGAGCATGCTAGGGGCTGGCAGACACACGCCTCACTCTGTGGGTGCAATATCTGTCACTGATCAGTTGCTAGATATTGATCCTAGAAACCCATGCTCTGTGGGTCCCTCTCCAAGAAACACAGCAACCACGATTTGTATATTGCTCTTCAGTTCCAGTTCAGACTGCTTTCACTTGTTGGTTTCATCTCTGATTCCACCACGTGAGCACAGGTTTTTGAAACTTTGCCTGGGTCCCCAACTAGTAAGAGGGAGAACCTGGACTTGAAACTTAGTTTTGTCTCAAATCTTGCCCCTTTTCCTCAGGTTTTGGACCAAAACCTCCCAAAGTATCATCATCACCTCTGTCCATCCAAGGCATGATCATTAAATTCCCTTCAAGCAGCAGCACCTGCAGAAGTGCCCCCAAGTCAGGCAGCCTGGTGTGGTCAGGCTAACACTGCCAGCCTCAGCGCCGGCTGCTTTCCTCCAGGACTCCCCCAGGACCCTAATAAGCCCCTTTTTCTAGGGGCCCATTCCTCCTCTTTCCCTAGGCCCCATCCCCACTACTTGCCCTCATACTCCAGAGAGTGGTCTTCAGTACCACCCAGTAAGTGATAACTTCTCATCTAGAAGCCTGGCTCGGGTCGGGTTCTGTGTTTCGGCCATGTACACCCAGGAGCAGCCCTGCTTGTGTCTGGTCGTCGGTGCCTCAGCTGCAGTGAGCCCCACCGTAACCCTTCTGTGATGAAAACACACCCCACCTCTTCAGTGGGCGGTCCTCCACTCAGATCCTCACACCCCTGGGACCATCCCTGTCTGTCCTTGCTGTCCTGCAGCTCCAGCCCAGCCTGTGACCCGTAGCCCACCTGCCATGTCCTTCCTGGTGGCAGCTCCTGCTGGGCTCTGCAGCCGCTCCTGCCCAGTCCCACCTGCCCCTGACTGCCCTGCTGCTGCCCACCCTGCCCCTTCCCATCCTGCCCTTGCTTGCCCTGCCTCTGCCCACCCCACCCCTTCCAATCTTGCCCCTGCCTGCCCTGCCTCTGCCCACCCCACCTCTTCCCGTCCTGCCCCTGCTGCCCTGCTGCTTCCCACCACCAAGAGACTGGTTCCGATAAGAGTGCTGGATGTGATTATGTGGACAGGCACGGGCTGACCTGAGGGGTGGGAAGGATGCCTGCCTGCCTGACAGCGGCTTTAGCACCGAGAAGCCTCCTACCTTGGGGCTGCTCCTGTGGGTGAAAGAGCCCGGCCAGTGGGAAGCGCCTGTTAGAGTGGGACTGTGCACACCCATCAGTGGGAATTACTGCCTCACACACGATTGGTTGTCAGTATTTTGTAAGTCCAAGCAAAGCTCCAAAAAAGCTTCGGCAGGGCCGGATCTGCACCAAGAGGCTGGTTCTGATAGAGTGTTGGATGTGCACCAGTGTGGAGAGCGGAGGGAGGGAATGGGTCCCATGGAGAGGAGTAGGGGTGTCGGCAGGGGCTGCAGGGCACTCGCCAGCAGACGACCCACAGTGTGAAAGTTCGCGTCTGGGAGCTGCTGTCCTTCGGATAGGCATTTGTGGGATCCCTGTCCTTCTTAGCCAAGGAAAGCATGTCTGCAGGCGCCGGCTGCAGATGTTTTTCCAGATGGAAGGAGGGCTTGAGAGAAGGAAATGATTGAAGTATAAGCAGTACGTGCCCTCGTTTGTTCACACACCACGCGAAGCTTGAGGCTCCCGTGGGCCTCTGCACTCACAGCCTCTCCTCTGTCTCTTTCTCTCCAGTCATGCCAGGCGGACCTCGTGAAGGACAACGGCCACAAGTACTTCCTGTCGGTGCTGGCGGACCCATACATGCCAGTAAGGACTGGGCAGCACCTTCTCGGCGGGCTCGCGTCTCGTGACACTGCCTCTGCCCACACGCTGCGCTCGGCGGGGCCTTTCTACGGGGGCTGTAAGAGAAAGGTCAAGGGCCACAGCAGGGGCCATGTCCACGCAGTCAGCAACTGCTTCACTTTAGACACGGCCCTTTGCTTAGTGCCATGAGTGCAGCTGCTGTTTCACTTCCGTCTCTAAACAAGAGCTACAGTTCACCCAGACACACGGGTCATGGGGGGGTTGTTTGAGTCTGTTTTCACAGGCACTTCTTTGCAAAACAGTCTCGCATCCACTCTTCCTAGCTGTCCACTGAGTCAGACTAGTGAGTGCTCGCACACCTGTGATGTGGCGGTTCCGCAGCCTCGGGAGGTCCTGGGACACAGCAGGCTATCAAAGGACCTCATCAGGAAGGGAGGGAGGAGGAAGGGAAGAACAAAAGAAGACTGAAAGTTTAAACTTTCAGTATATTTTATTGTATTAAATTGTTTAAAAATGAGTCATCCATGAATAGGGTACAGAGTTATTCTGTAAATGTCTCGTAATGTTGTATTTCCCATTTCTGGCTCCCAGCTTAGTAATGAAAACCAAGTAGATATATCCTAAGTAGTTTTTGAACATGACATCATATTGCCAGAATATGTAAGCATATGAGCTTGTTACACGGTGCTAGGTGGCCTTGGCTGCAGAAAGGAACTTCTGTATGTAATTGCACCCCTCGTTGGTTTTCTAAGCAAAGTGATTTTTTAAACACAGCAAACATACACAGGACTGCTTTCCGAAAGGTGAATAGTATGTGCACTTTGGGTTGGAGTGAGACGTCATCCTAGGCAGTTAAAGTTTATACTTGATGCCAGCTTTGGAGATCATCACTTCCTATGCTTAAGAGTAACGAAGAAAACAAATCCGACATAGAGAAGTGAGAGGGTATGCTAGCCGGTGACGGGCAAAGGGATGAGCTAGGCTCACAGGAACCGGCCCCACCTCACACCCTCACACGAGCCTGCGGGGGTTTTGAGGACAGAGCCGGGCTGAATAGAATGAAGAGGCGGCTGGGTGCAGTGGCTCACGCCTGTAATCCCAGCACTTTGGGAGGCCAAGGCTGGCAGACTGCTTGAGCTCAGGGGTTCGAAACCAGGCTGGACAACATGGTGAAACCCCATCTCTACCGAAAATACAAAAACTTAGCCAAGCGTTGTGGCTCATGCCTGTGGTCTCTGCTACTCGGGAAGCTGAAGTGGGAGGATCGGCTGAGCCCGGGGAAGTCCAGGTTGTAATGAGCTGTGATTGTACAACTGCACTCCAGCCTGGCCAACAGTGAGACCCTATCGCCAACAAATAAATAAGTAATGTCAATATGTTTAAACGACGGACTGGAAAGAAGTTGGTATGATGATATCAGACCGTCAGCCATCGGTGGGGGCCGGGGGGCCCTCAGCTTTGTTTCTTCAGGGCTTTGTGCCTATTATGAGAAAACACTGTGCTCAGCCTCAGAAATGACTGATTTCTCTAAACACATAAGCAGATCCGAAAAACAAATTGAAGCTGTAAAATAGAAAAGACATTCACTGTTACTGAAAACTCGGGAGATGAATTAAATCACAGAGCAGACAGCCGAGAAAAGGGTTCCTGAAGGAGTCACCTGGAGCGCCGTGTGTGAAGCTCAGGGAGAAGGTATGAAAGCCGCGCTGAGAGACAGGCCGGGCGCACTCACCGTGCAGCTAGCGTGGCTCACAGCGAGAGAAGACAGGAAGTAGAGAAGCCGTTTTTGATTAGATACTGGCTGAGAATTCTCCAGATTTGAAGAAAGGAGAGTTCTGATTTTAAAAGCATGATGAATCCTGAGAAGGTTAAACAGAAACAGATGCATACATAGACACATGGTAATGAAAACAGCAAATATCAGAGACATGAAGACAACCCTTGAAAGTCCCCAGAACAACTGTTACTTGCAAAGGAGGAAACAATGCCAGCCCAGATAGCAGACCTCTCATCAGCAGCAGCTCTCGGTGGTGATGGGGGGCTCTCAGAGGGGAACGGGGGGCTCTCAGGGATAGGGTCACTTGTCAGCAGAGGCGCTTGGCAGGGACGGGGGCTCTTGGCAGGGGTGGGGACAGGGGGGCTCTCAGCGGGGACGGGGGGCCCTTGGTGGGGGCGGGGACCCTTGGTGGGGGACAGGGAGGTCCTCAGTGGGAGATGGGGCCCTCGGCAGGGGTCGGAGGGCCCACAGTGGGGATGGGGAGCTCTTGGTGGGGGATGGGGGGCCCTCAGCGGGGACAGGGGACCCTCAGTGGGGATGGGGGGCCCTTGGCAGGGGACAGGGGTCCCTCGGGGGGGACGGGGGCCCTCAGTGGGGATGGGGGGCCCTCAGCATGAGACAGGGGGCCCTCGAGGGGGACGGGGGGGCCCTCAGCAGAGGAGGAAAGTGACTGTAGTTGGAACACCTGCTCAGTCACCACTTAACAGTGGGGATATAGTAAGCAGTGGTCAAACACTGACAGTTTACTCCTTCCGAACCCCACAGCTGACAGCTAGAAAGACCGCACATCAGTGAGGAGGAAACGGGACCGGGAGGGAGAAGCAAGATGCAGGATGCAGCAAAAAGCCAAGAAGCTGGCAAACGTGTTGACACATCTAAAGCTTTGTAAAAATAAAGAACACTCATGGCGAATTGGAGGGGTTAAGCATGAGGAGGAATCAGGTGCCTGGGAGCCTTGCAGTGATTCAGGTGCTACATAGGATGTGCTGGACTACACGGTGTGCACGTGAAGAACATAAGGCCCCCCCACAGAGCTCAGAATAGACTCTGGCTTCCAGGTCAGCAAAGGCACAGAGGAAAGGAGAGGATGAAAATCAGTCAGGTCCATGGAAGACCAGAAAGGAGGGAACAGGGAAACGCAGTTAGAAGGCTGCCTCCGTGACTTCCGGGCAGTGTGTGCATGGGGCGCTGGGCTGGCTGAGGAGGTGAGGTCCGGGCGCTCCATACCGACAGCCATGGCTGACCCGTGACAGAGGAAAGAGATGCCTGGTCTGTGCCCATTGGCAGTGCTGGGCCTTCACTCGGGAGACCAGCCCGAGCTCTCAGGCCTGTGTGAACCGCGGTTCTTTTTTGTAGAGTCCACTCAAAATCCAGCGGTAAAGCTGGCTTGTGACTTTAATCATGTGAGAGTATGGTGAAGATTCAGAAAGGATCTCGCTGCTGTGCTTTGGGAATGAGAGTTTCCACTGAGGGAAACAACCACGGCCATCTTGTTTTCCAGGCTGAACACAGGACCATGACAGCCTTCATCCTCGCCGTGATCGTCAACAGCTACAACACGGGGCAGGTGAGCACCCCGGTGGTCCCCACCCGCAGAGCCCACGTGGTGCTGCGGAGGAGCTAGGCCCACTGTGAAACGTAGCGCCACATGGGAGACACAGGATGTCCAGCAGATGCTCGGGCCCTTCATCTCAACGGCTGTTTGTGGGGTGAATTTGAATCTGCAGGATTTAAAATGGGGAACATTAAGCAAATCTGGTGTTGTGATTAAATAAGGCTTCCTGAGGATGGGTGGCTGCCGACATCCTGGACAGACACCCACCACGTGCCCGCCATCGGCGGGCAGAGGCCCACCTGTCTGTGGTCCCGCCTCTGCAGGAAGCCTGCCTCCAGGGAAACCTCATCGCCATCTGCCTGGAGCAGCTCAACGACCCTCACCCCCTGCTGCGCCAGTGGGTGGCCATCTGCCTAGGCCGGATCTGGCAGAACTTTGACTCGGCGAGGTGGTGCGGTGTAAGGGACAGCGCCCACGAGAAGCTCTACAGCCTCCTCTCCGACCCCATTCCTGAGGTGAGTCCAGTGGGTGCTCAGAGCCCAGTCCCGGCTGCCGACTGCGAGGCCTCCTGGAGGGGTGAGGTGGAGGGCCAGGAAGTGCAGGCTGCTCACTAATAGGAGTAGGAGAGCGGGACCTTGGTGGGAGAGAGCCGCACCCCAGGGGACTTTGCACCTGGGCCCAGAATGCACTCCCGGGGGCAGCAGCACAGCTACCAAAGGGGGTCCCTAAGGGCACCTCAGAGGCGGGTCACACACTCTGTCTGGGGTGCCACTTTGCGTCCTCGCCACAGCCTGCCCCATTGTCTTCACTCCTCCCACAGCCTGTGCAGGGTATAGGGTGTTGCTTGTTGTTAGAGCTGAGGTAACAGACCCAGGGACAGTGACTTCTCCCCAGGACCACATGGTGTTGGGGGCAGGGGCTAAGCCAGAGTCCCCAGACCCCAGGGCCAGCATGGTGTCGCTCCCCTGGGTGAGCCCTCATCCTTGGTGCACTCCAGGGCTCCCACACCCCCTCTGCCTCCAGGAGTGCCCATGCCTTCCCCTCTCTCCATTCTCCCTGCCCTGCGGCCCATCCCAGCTCCTCCTCTAACTCTTGCCTCATTCATCAGTATATTCCCTGGCACCTGTTTTGGTCTTTGAATTCCCAGGGAAATACGGCTCCCACCTCTGCAGGCTGACCGTCCGCCCCTGGAGCTGGGCAGCTGGCCCTGCTGCTTCCACTTCCTCCCCCATTGCTGCTCCGGCTGTGCAAGTAGAGCTGGGGCCCGGATTGCTGTTCACCAAACCCCTGTGGGATCGGGTTCACCTGCACACAGCCCTGGCGGACAGGCCGGCTGCAGCATGGCCCAGTGTGGGGCATGCCTGTGACCACTCCCTGCCTTGCAGGTCCGCTGCGCAGCGGTCTTCGCCCTCGGCACATTCGTGGGCAACTCTGCAGAGAGGACGGACCACTCCACCACCATCGACCACAACGTGGCCATGATGCTGGCCCAGCTGGTCAGCGATGGGAGCCCCATGGTCCGGAAGGTACGTGAACCCCCCAGCTCAGCAGCGGTAGGGCGCCCAGGCCGGACCCCGCAACACGGGGAGCCAGGCCATACGACCCTGACCACAGCAGGGAGCACTCACTTTCCATAGAGCCTCATTGCGAGAACAGATCTTTGAATGTCTAATTCTCTCCAAAGTGCGTTTCTTAACCAGGTACTGTGTTTGCTTCGTTTAGAGGCATTTAGCAGGCCGTGCCTCCCAGCAGCTTGCATAATAGTCTCCTTCCTGCCTGGGAGCGACACACACACACACACACACACACACACACACACACCACTGCGACCACAGATGGCAGGAAGGTTTGTGTACTGGGTCCTCCTCCCTGCCCCCGTGTTTGTCAGCAACAGAACAAAACAGTTTTATTAACTTGAAAACTTACCTGTTTAGATGTAGAAATATCACAGATGATTCAAGGTTTCACACCCCTAGAAAAAATTGGTTCCACACACCCTCAGGTTCCCCCACCCACCGCAGCGCCACGGACGTTTAGGGAGACACTGGTTTCCCGGTCTTCTTTCCCCATGAGAGCAAAGGCTGCTCTTGCAGAGAACTCATCAGACAGGGCGCAGAGCTCTGCAGGGGAACAGGGGGTCTGTGTCTCCCCGTCGGGAGTCATTGGCTGCCCTAGCACGAGCCCGCACTGGCTGTGTGTGGCTCCCTCTTGGATGTGGGCTTCATCAGGAGCGGGGCCGGGGTCCAGGGGCCTGGGAGTTGTTTGTTGGGAAAGCAGACACCACTGCTTCACTTGGGAGGGATGTGACCTGGACAGGTTTACCTCAGCCAGACTCAACGTGTAGAAAGGCATGTTCCGTTATGGGTTCCTTCTCAAAGGAGCCAGGTCATTAGTGTTCTGCATTTTCTTTTTTTTTTTTTTTTTTTTTCTTTTTTTTTTGAGAAAAGGAAAGAAAAAAAAAGGAGTGAAGGACAGAAAGAAAGAGGAAGAAAAAGGGAGAGAGAACGGAAATGTTGCTTTATTCTAAAAAATGGGTATTAATAATGGCCAATCAATATTTCATTTAAACCTATGAGTAGGTGTGATATGGTATTGACAAGAATATATATTTTGTGTATTTAAAGTGGAGAGCTTTATAAATATTTATTAAGTTTACTTGTTCCGGATCTGAGTTCGAGTCCTGGATATCCTTATTAATTTTCTGTCTCATTGAATCTAAGTCTCTATGTATCTGGGTGTTAGGATCGTTAGCTCTTATTGTTGCATTGATCTTTTTACCACTATATCTTTGTTGCTTTAAAATCTATTTTATCAGATGCAAGAATTGCAACTCCTGCTTTTTATTTATTTATTTATTTATTTTTGCTCTCCATTTGGTTGGTAAATCTTTCTCCATCCCTTTGTTTTGAGTCTTTGTGTATCCTTGCATGTGAAATGGGTCTGGATGTAGCATTCAGTTGGGTTTTGGCTGTATCTTTTGATTGGGGGATTTAGTCTATTTAAATTTAGGATTACTGCCATTTGATGTTAACTGGCTGTTTTATCCATTCATTGATGTAGATTCTTCTTTATGTTGATGCTCTTTACTTTTTGGTATATTTTTAGAAAGGTTAACATTGGTTGTTTCTTTCTATGTGTAATGCTTCTTTCAGAAGCTCTTGTAAAGCAGGCTTGGTGGTAATAAAATCTCTGAGTACTTGCTTGTTCATAAAAGATTTTATTTTTCCTTCAGTTGTGAAGCTTAGTTTGGCTGGATATGAAATTCTGGGCTGAAAGTTCTGTTCTTTAAGGATGTTGAATATTGGCCCCCACTTTCTTCTGGCTTGTAGAGTTTCTGCTGAGACATCTGCTGTAAGTCTGATAGGCTTCCCTTTGTGGGCAACCTGACCTTTCTCTCTGGCTACCCTTAGTATTTTCTCCTTTGTTTCAACCCTGGTGAATCTAACGATTATGTGCCTTGGGGTTGCTCTTCTTGAGGAATATCTTTGTGGTGTTCTCTGTATTACCTGGGGTTGAATATTGTCCTGCTTTGCTAGGTTAAGAAAGTTTTCCTGAATAATATCCTGAAGAATATTTTCCAGCTTGAATTCATTCTCTCCATCGCATTCAGGTACACCTATCAAATGTAAATTAGGTCTTTTCACATAGTCCCATATTTCTTGGAGACTTTGCTCATTCCTTTTTATCCTTTTTTCTCTAATCTTGTCTTCTCATTTTATTTCATTAAGTTGGTCTTCGACCTCTGATATCCTTTCTTCTGCTTGATCAATTCGAGTGTTTAAACCTGTGCATACTTCTTGGAGTTCCTGCATTGTATTCTTCAGTTCCATTAATTCACTTATATTCCTCTCTAAATTGTCTATTCTCATTAGGATTTCATCAAACCTTTTTTCAAAGTTCTTAGTTTCTTTACATTGGGCTACAACATGTTCTTTTAACTCACAGAAGTTTCTTATTATTCATCTTCTGAAGCCTGATTCTGTTAATGGGATGCGCTCGTTCTCCATCAAGCCTTGTTCCCTTGTTGGTGAGGAACTGTGATCCTCTTTAGAGGGAGAGGCATTCTGATTTTGAGTATTCTCAGCCTTTTTACGCTGGTTTCTTCCCATCATTGCAAATTTATCCACCTGTCATCTTTGTAATTACCAACTTCCAAATTAGGTCTCTGAGTGGACGTCCAAGTTGTTAATTCCCAGGGCCGAAATACGAGCAACCCACTGCGCCGGCCAAAACAGCGGCGTTAAGACTGATGGTGCTTTTCTGCCCAGGAATCTCCAGTCTGGCTTCCTTCTTGAGTCCGTAATAGGCGACTCTGCCTCCCCAGAGCTCCAAATGTCGGTCAGAAGGGGAACCAGCCCTGTTTACTCTGCACCAAGAGCTGCTGTGCCGAGGTGCCAGCAAAACTGCTGCGCCGGCCACAAGAGTCGTGCTGGCGACCCGTGGGGCTCCTCTACTGGGAATCTTCTGCTCCGTGAGCGACAAAAATTTGTCTGAAAGTGTGGCGTCCTCTTGTTCTCTGCGCTTTCACTGGGAGCTGCAATCCCGAGATGTTAGCAATCAGCCATCTTGGATCATTCTCTAGTGTGCTGCATTTTCTAATGAAATCTTGAAAATATGAAGTGAGAGGCTGGTGAAGCTCTTCTGCTGGGTCTGGCTTTGTTACCGTCACGTTCTCCTCCTGACAGTGCCTCTGGACCTGGCTTCTTTCAGCCGCTGCCGAATTCTTCTCACATCAGATCGCCTTTAGTGGACGTCACTGATCAAAGCAGCAGATCAGCAGTTTGTCTGTTAAAATTTGTTTAAAGTAAGGAAACCTTTGTTTCCCTTTTACAAAAGCAGTGTTAAATTAGAGAGGACGTTGGCTATGACACGCTCCCTGAGAGCCGTCCTGTGGTCCAGTGTCCCCGCTGGGTGTGACCCCGTGGTGCAGTCCTGGCTACTGGGCACTGAGACCGCAGCCCACCCTCCTCTGTGCGCAGTTCCGCGTTCACTTGCCTGCAAGGCCGCCTGCTTATCCTGTCCTGGAGACTGGCCTGCAGGAACAGTGTGGGGGTCAGAGGAGGTGCTGGTGACCGGGACACAGCTGTCTCGGGGACACCAGGCGGGGCGTGTGGAGGATGACAGCCCCTGCGTTCCAGGAGCACACGGTCTAGTCAAAGAACAGATACACATGTGGCCATTCCACAGGAGCCTGTGGATCAGTGCTGCCTGGAGTTCTCTGAGCTCGTGAGAACTCTGTCTATACCCATGTGGGAGCGGGAAGAGGGTCAGCAGAGGCTTTGTGGAGGGGCAGCTCCTACCTGGTTATGGAGGGGAGTCATACGTCACCTGGGAGGGGCTGGATAAGCAGGAGGAGCGTGTGCAAACCCGCAGGCGTGGGGAAGATGGAGGGGCTTGGGGTCGCCCTCCTTCCAAGTGGCCAGTCTCAGGCCTGGGGAACATGGAGGGGCTTAGGGTTGCTCTCCTTGCAAGTGGCTGGAGGCTCAGGTGTGGGCAAGATGGAGGACCTTGGGGCTACTCTCCTTCCTTGTGGCCAGAGGGGCAGTGGAGTGGAGGCAGGAGCTGTGAGTGCCAGGCTCCAGCTGTTGAGAATGTGCCTTCAGCAAGTGCTCTATTCTTCCAAATCTAACAGGATTCGGTCTTGGAGCAAGTATTCCCTGCTGTCTGTCCCATGCTGGGAACCTGGTCAGGTACTTGAGATGCATTCTGCCTTCAGGGGGGTTGCATTCTAGCCAGAGAAGCAGCCAACAGCAGCTGGTAATGTAAGCTGGCAGGGTCATGTCTGGAGGGAGGAAGTCTAGTGAGGAGTCAGAGAAAGTCGTCACTCACGTGTGGCCAGGAGCCTTCCCCAAGCAGGCTGCACTGACGCTCAGACTCTGAGGATATGCCGACTCGGAGTGGGGGTGCTGACTCCAGGGGGGTGCTGACTTGAGAGGTGTGCCGACATGTGGAAGGGTGCTGACTCCAGGGGTGTGCCGACGCTGAGCGGGGGTGCGCCGATTCTGAGTGGGGATGCTGACTCCAGGGGCGTGCTGACTTGGGAGGCATGCTGACGTGGGGAAGGGTGCTGACTCCAAGGGTGCACCTCTGTCTTTGTCACAGCGTCTGCCACAGCACAGCTGGTTTTCTCTCCTGTTTACCAAGCACCACGGGCGGGCACGGTGCCCTGCAGGGGACCTGGGCACGGGTGCAAGCACCGGGTAGCCTGGTGGACATGGAACCAGCCCCCTTCTCGCAGCCTCTCCTCGGGGCCCGTCCTGAGCCCGCTGTAGGGCTGGGGTTGGGGAGCAGGCCTGGCTGAGCAGCTCCCGGCAGCCTCCAGGGCAGGAGAGAGGAGGATGCTGTTGCTGCTTTTCCATACAGCAAGGTGTTCTGAGTATCAAAACGGTTCCTTCGTCCTGCTTTTTCATAATGAACGTGTCCTCTCCTGTGTGGGGCCTGGTAGGTTTTGTTTGTTGACTTGTTTAGTAAGCTTACTTGACAGAATTTAAAAGTCAGCAAATTCAGATTAGCCCCAAATCATTTTGAGCTTCAGCTTGTCTGTGAAGCACAAAGCCTGCAGTCAGCAGCCACCCCTCCCTCATCAAGAAGGGCCAGGGTAGGGGTGTGGGGTGGTAGCCCCCAGTAACACCCCAGCCTCTGCCGAAGCTGGGCTGGGCAGGAGCTACACGAGAGGAAAGGTCCGGCGGGGTCTGGATTGGGGCCCACTCCCTCTGTCGTGGCCTCAGGAGGAAAAAGGGACTCTTCGGATACTATTTTTTAACTTTGTATTTTCTTTGTTTTATTTTATTTTGAAACAGTCTCTGTTACCCAGATTGGAGTACAGTAGCACAATCTCAGCTCACTGCAACCTCTGCCCTCAGGGCTCAAGCAATCCTCCTACCTCAGCCTCCTGAGTAGCTGGGACCACAGGCACATGCCACCATGCTGGGCTAATTTGTGTATTTTTTATAGAGATGGGGTCTCGCTGTGTTGCCCAAGCTGGTCTCAAACTCCTGGGCTCAAGTGATCCACTCTGTAATCCCAGGCCTTAGCCTTCCAAGATGCTTCCAGGACACTGCTCGGGCCTGCAGTGGTCACAGGAGCTGAGTTTTACGATGCCCAAGCACAGGTGACAAAACAAATACTAGCCAGTGCTGTGTTGTTGGAAATGTGGAGTGGGGGGTCAGCAGGGCAGGTGGGCAAGGCGGGGAGGTAAGGTGGGTGGGCAGTCCATGGTGAGTCCAGCTGGGTCACCACCAGGAGGTGTGTGGGCCCCCTGGGCAGCAGGGCATGTGCCCAAGCAAGGGTCTCTGAGTCCTGGCGACATTCATGGTTAGAAACTGACCTTCATCTTGCAGACGATGCTCCTGAAGTGGGGAGGGCTGCACTCAGCCAGAACACACTCATCAGGCATGTGCCATGCACCTCAGTGACCCCGCAGGGCACTCACCCTGGCTTTTCTCTCAAGAAGGTGCCCCTGGAGCTGGGGGAGGGGTGGATGTGAGGATGGTGGGCCGAGGTGGCAGCTGAGCAGAGCCACTGTGGATGGGGCTGGGGGCACAGGGAGGCCTTGCCACAAGGAGGGGCCAGCAGGTGCAGGGGCCATGCCCATCAGACAGCGTGGGCACGAGAGGTCAGGAGGGTGGTGGGGCAGGTGGCCCAGCCAGTACAAGCCTTGTTATTTGTGATCAGAGGCCTGGAGGGGGTTTGGGGGTGGGACCTCACCTTCGGCTGCTCAGGTGAGAGGGGCCGTTTGCCCAACTGCAGGGATGGGAAGAGTAGGAGGGAAGAGTTGCCTAGGCTTTGAACGCAGAGCTCACAGCACTTGCTCACAGGTGGAGGGGGTACGAGAAAAGAGGAGGACAGGGAATCCCTGGGGTTTGGGTCTGAGCAACAGAAGAGAGGACTTGCCTCTCACCAAAGGGGCCAGCCATGAAGGAGCAGGTTCTAGGAGCACACAATGACACTGAAGACAGGGAGCCCAGGGGAAGGGCTGAGCTGACAGGTGAACATGAGTCCGGCAAGCCGCTCAGCTCCAGCCACAGAGCAGGAGGACAGACAATGGCTTTGACACTCAGTCTGTCAGAGTACCTGGGAAACCTGGCCAGCCCCTGGTTGCTAATGTGGCCCCCACATCTGTATGCCACTGGGGAACCCCAAGAGGGAGAGGGTCACATGACAACACCAGCCAAAATCTTGCAAAAGCTGAGAGAGGGGGGACTCCCACAGCCTGGCTGAGCACCTCTGCCAGACCCAGACCCTCTGATGGGTTCTGCATGAATATCCCGAAGAAGGCTGGTGTGTGTGTGTGTCTTGCTGTCCGAGCCCAGCTCCATTCAGAAAGGGCAGGAAGGGTCAGATGCAAGGGAGAGCTCTTTGCTGTGTGCCAGGCAGCAGCCTCCAGAGCGAAGCCCCGTATGCGGCGGGATGTGCAGCCTCCAAGCGAGGCCCCATATGCGGCGGGATGTGCGGCCTCCGAGCGAGGCCCCCCCCGTAAGCGGCGGGACAAATGCTCTCTGGACATTTCCCTTGAACAACGGTCGTGGCCCCTGTTGGCCTCCCCTGAATTGAAGGCCTACCACCTCGGGGCATATTAATCCATTCCAGGGCCCAGCACTGGCTTTTGTCACGTGATACCAGAAGGAAAGGGAAAGAAAATCCGTGGTTTTTGAAGACAGATGCAGCCTTGGTCCTCCCTGGGAGGGGTCCAGTGGGCGCTCGCTCTGTTGGAGGCCCCATCTCTGCAGTGCCTCACTCCCCTTGGACAGGGAAGACAGCAGGGTGTCTGTGGCTTGCTCCGGGAGCCTGGGACGGTGACTTAGGCCATTGAAGATGAGTACCAGAACTGGGTGTTGGCCATGGCCGTGAAGATGCACATGGGGCCCTGACCTTGGTGCCCAGTGGGGTGGGAGGGTTGGGCTTCCGCCTGAGCACTGAGAGACTTGCAGTCCTGTGAGCACACATCAAGAGGGCACTGTGGGCTGAATGGAAAGTAAAGGGTGCTGGCAGTTCACAGGGCAGGGAGAGTTTGGGGTGCAGGGGAAGAGCCAGCAGCTGGACAGCTAGCCTGGAGCTAGTAGAGGGAGGGGCCCACCTCAGGGGAACCCCAAAGCATGCTAGGAGGAAGCCTAGGGCACGATGGCTGGGACAGGAGAGTGCGTGGATGGAGAGCGTGCGGGTGGAGAGCAGGGGCGGTGCCGAGAAGACCCTGGTCCCTGGAGAGCGCCCATCCAGAGCGTGGCTCATCCACCCTCTACGGAGGCAGGGGCATCACGCAAGCAGCAGGGGGTCCAAGCGCTTGGTTCTCTGCTAAGAATCCATCTTTACTCTTAAAAAAAAAAGGCAGAGAAAGTTGTGAGGAAAAAAGCATTCCTTCCATTTTTTAAACCTACATTACCCTTATGTTCCCCAGTGACTTCTAGGATCTCCAGCTGTTCATGTCACAGCACTAAACTTTCCTAAAAGAGAGGCAAATTGTGCCTGTTGCCTTGGACTAAGGCATTTGGACCTAAAGATGTTTTACTTCTACAACTTTCCCGTTCTGTCTTAGGGACTAGAAACATCTACGCATGAAAGTTTTGCGTGTGTTGAAAAGCACAGGCCTCAGCTTGTCTGCCACACTCGGCCAGTGTGCTCAGATTCAGAAAGGCCGCCAGCTGTCGGGGTGATCTCGAGCTAGAGCAGCAGTTTCAGCCGGGGTCACAGTGGTGACTGTAAGCAAGAGGCTGGACGCCTCCTCGGAGGGCTCCTCCCTCCCCTCTCTGGAGTCCTGTGACTCCGCATCCTCGAGAGACCCCGAGTACAGTGCATCATGTACTTCTAACAGTGGTGAGGGTCCTAGGAGGCTTTCTGGGCACCCCCAGCATCCACCGTGAGCTGGTGGCCTGCCATTTCGACAACACTCTGCTCGTTCAAGTCTTCTGCTTTGACTGGTTCCTGTTTCTGATGCTGATTGCCGAGTTTTGTCTTAACCTTTCTTTTTTCTGTTGGTGACTCAAGTCACTGCTGCTCCACAGTCATTTTCCAGCCCCAGTGAGTGTTACTGTCCCTTCTCCCTCTCGGCAGGAGCTGGTGGTGGCTCTGAGTCATCTCGTGGTTCAGTATGAAAGCAACTTCTGCACCGTGGCCCTGCAGTTCATAGAAGAGGAAAAGAACTACCCGTTGCCTTCTCCGGCGACCACAGGTATGGCAGACACAGCAGGTACAGCGTCTCCTGTGAACCGCGAGCCACGCGGTGGATCCTGTACAGCCCACAGTCCAGGCTGAGAACTGCTGGCAGCCTGCTCACTCTTGCAGAGTCTAAGCTCGGGTTTCCCAGATGCCTGCTGCAGTGGTCCGTGTTTTTCTCATCTTTTTAGGCACCTGCCAGACTTAAAAGGGCAGGAAAGAGGACCACACTGGTCCTCTTACATTTTTCCTTTCTTTTTGCCATTTTTGGAAATTAAACTCACAGAAATCTGGAAGTATGACAAAACTTCTGCAGTTACGAGCTTGCAGAAAAGCACTGTGGCCGCCCCCTGTGATGAATAATGTCATCGCACGCTGGTGGCCTCAGGGCTCAGTGAGGCATGTCAGGAGCTCCTTTCTCACATGTGGTCTGGACTGCAGTGTCTCCTCACTGCCAGCAGCCCCTCCCTCCACCACACAGCCGTCTCTGCAGTGCAGAGGCTTGTCATCAGCGAGGCAGCATCCCTGTGGGCAGGATACCTGGGAGGGCGGAGGATGAGCCACACTGAGTGTGGCCGGCCATTACTCTACTGCGGCTTCCTGGGGAGCGCCTCACGGCCCACATCACCACATACCTCGTGCACTCTTGGACAGGCTGAAGCTACCTGCCTCTCTCGTGTTTGGTAATTTCATATACACAGAGCAACAAGCGGTTGTCATTTCTCCAGTGCTGTCCCGCAGAGCCGCCACTCATGTCTGAGTCTCCCTGAGCCGCACAGCCCCTGTGGTGATATTCATTCCTGTGCAGGTAGCGGCTGTCCCCACTGTGTGTCTCAGCTGCTGAGTGTCACAAGATGCACTGGCCTCTACCCGGAAGCCCATTGTAACTTGTCTTTCTCCTTCTTTCCCAGAGGGTGGGAGTTTGACCCCCGTGCGAGACAGCCCGTGCACCCCCCGACTCCGTTCTGTGAGTTCCTACGGAAACATCCGCGCTGTCGCCACAGCTAGGAGCCTCAACAAATCTTTGCAGAACCTGAGCTTGACAGAGGAATGTAAGATCCTGGAAACCGGGTGCTTGGATTAGGAGAGATAGGGTTGCATTTTCTGAAACTTTTCATCTCAGCAAGCACCACTCTGCCCCTGCCGCTTCCCTGCCTAAGTTCATGCCCCGAAGTCCCGTCTACCAACTCGGTGACGAGCCAGCTGTCCTCATCTGGAGTCCCCTTTGCAGACTTGAGTGTGGCAAGGAGGCGTAGGCCAGCCCGCAGAACAGCCGGTGGGCCCGTTACAAATGCGGGAGGGAGCTCAAGCTTGGTCACAGTCCAGACAGTGGCTCCTCAGAGGGATTCTCCCAGTAACCTGTGGTCTTCGGGTGGGGAGCCTGGCCCCGGAAAGATCAGCAAGGGCCTGTGCCTGGGTGTGTGCACCAGGGTGTGTGTATGCCTGTGTGTGCGCCAGGGGGTGTTTGTGCCTATGTGTACACCAGGGAATGTGTGCGCCGGGGGTGTGTGTGCCTGGGTATATGTGCACCAGGGTGTGTGTGTGCCTGGGTGTGTGTGCACTGGCGTGTGCACCAGGGGATGTGTGTGCCTGGGTGTGTGTGCACCAGGGTGTGTGTGTGCCTGTGTGTATGTGCCAGGGTGTGTGTGTGTCTGGGTGTGTGTGCGCCAGGGCGTGTGTGTGCCTGGAGGTGTGTGCACCAGGGGGTGTGTGTGCCTGGGTGTGTATGCCTGGGTATATGTGTACCAGGGTGTGTATGTGCCTGTGTGTGCGCCTGGGTGTGTACATGCCTGGGTGTGTGCATCAGGGGTGTGTGTGTGCCTGCATGTACTGAGCTTTATTTAGAAGAAAATTCATATCTCAGTCACGCCATTAACCGTAAGACCAAAAGGAGGGTCCCAGGATGACCCCGTTGACCCCACCATGTCTCGGCCAGCCGGTGGCGCGGTCGCGTTCTCCCCTGGAAACCTCAGCACCAGCAGCAGTGCCAGCAGCACCCTGGGCAGCCCGGAAAACGAGGAGCACATCCTGTCCTTCGAGACCATCGACAAGATGCGCCGTGCCAGCTCCTACTCCTCCCTCAACTCCCTCATTGGTGAGTCCACACCTTTCCGCTGCCGAGGGGCCCCAGGGATCCTCCCCACACAAAGCTGCATGAACCTGTGTCCTCGAGTTTTGCTGGGGAAGCAGGACGGTGGAAATCCCTGCTGTGATGGGTGGTGTTTTACAGGATGGTATTTTACAGGCTGCTCCGGGGCCGTCGGAGCTGGCCAGCTTGGCCAGGTGGGAGGGCTGCCAGAACCTTCCATCTTTCTTCCGTAGATGGATGAGAGTTCTTCATGGGTGCTGAACAACCCCCACACCCCCTGTTATGCAGAATGGTGTTTCTCAACCAGGGGTGGTTTTGCCCTTCAGGAACAACTAGGGCACAGTGGGGGTGCTCCTGGCACCAACGGGTGAGGCCAGGGAGCTGCTCACCTCCCCTCATGCCCAGGATGGGCCCTGCCCTGAGTGTCCGCGGTAAGAGGTGGAGGGCTCTGAGGTTGGTCGGGGCTGGAGGCTGTCATCCCCGCCCTGCCTGCTGGCCGAATCTCCGCTATACTTTCCCTCCATCCCAGCAGCTTGGCACAGCGCTGCCTGGAAATTGAAATTTGATGGCAGGGTCAGATTCATCTCTTGTTTGGCATGAATGGTGTGCGCCTGGGTTCTACCCCCAGGAGTGCTGATGCAAAACAAAAGCAGGACCTCATCATGTTTTCTTACTGTGTAGCTGTGTCATCTTCACACTGCTGGTAACAGATTTAGGGCTTAACCAAACAAGCATCCTCCCCTCTGGTTCCAACCATCCAGGGTGGCTTACAGGCTTCACTTGAAATTTTTTCATATTAAGGAACATTTTAGCCATGTAAAAATTAACAGAGACTTATATAAGAATGCTGTGTGTGTGTGTGTGTGTGTGTGTGTGTGTGTGTGTGTGTATGTGTGTGTTTCCAGCTTAAGGAATTACAAACAGAGGTCGAGCCGCAGAGCCCGCTCCGGTCCTGTCCCCTCTGGCGACGTTACACTTTCCCTCTCTGGCCGGGAGCCCCAGCATATGCGTGGGGCCTGCTCAGAGGCCTTTACCTCCTCTCGCTGTCGGTGCGTGGCCCGCAAAGCCCGTTTCCTTCGCTCCAACGTCGATGTGTATCTTCGGAGATCATCTAGGTTTTGTTCTTTCACTTTCACGATCTGCCAGGACTAACTATCCATTCCCCTGTTGGTGGACTGTGAGGCTTATTATAGTTTCTTCTTCCTTTTTGTTTTTTTTTGTAATAAGCAAACTCAGAATTCAGCCCCTGCCACCGTGGAGCCCCACGTCCAGCACACCCCTCCCTCTCTGCACCCACCCGGCCCCCAGCCCGGGCATCAGTGAGGGAGCTCTTCTCGGGCTTGTGGTGGCTGCTCTCCCCTCGTTCCTACCCCCATCTGGCAGCACCTTTTGAGAAGCCTCCCCAGACGCAGGCCCCCACCAGGAATCGGGCTTCTCTGGCTACTTTCCAACTCTGCTCCCTTCTCCTGCTTTAGTTTTCTCCTGAGGGCTGTGGCCCGTGGACACACTATACATGTAACTTGTTCATTTGGCCCAGCGCATCTCTGTCCCCTGAAGCTGGAGAGCCACACATACGGGAACCTGGCATTGTCAACCACTCTCTCCTCCCACCCTGTCCACAGCCAGTGCCTGGTACACAGTAAGCGCTCAGTACACCTAAACAGGCACGTGTGTGGTGAGTGTGCATCAGCATCGCTGCCTGGCCTCTGAATGAAGCTGCCGTACGAAGGGTGCCTGAGCCCTCTGCTTTTGTAGATGTTACCCAGGCCTTCCACAGGATACTCCGTCTCACCGCACTCTGCCCGCCCGGCCTTGCCAGCTGTGCCTGTGACATAGGCGCACTCTGTCCACCCGGCCTTGCCGGCTGTGCCTGTGTCAAACGCACTGGGGTCTCGTGCCACTTGAATTTGCACTTCCCTTGATGGCAGGGAGGCTGGACTCACGACCCTTCATCATACAGCCTGTCCTCCCTCCAGTGCTTCTCAGCATCTCTGTGGCCTTCTGTCCTTAGGGTCTGAGTGAGGGCCCCATTCTCAGCAGCACTCATCCCATTCATGGCTGCCCCAACACCACACGGCCGCCCCCACGCCACATGGCTGTAGTGCCGTTAAGCCCACTCCTCAGTTTGTTTCTCCTGAGAATTGTCTTGGCTGGTCTTAACCCTTTGCTCTGCTATATACATTTTCCAGTCGTTTTCTGTGGCCACAACAGTCTCATTTGGGTGTTGTTTGAATGGCATTGAATTGATAGATTTCCCTGGATGATTGACGTTCTTGCATCCTGAGTCATCCTGCTCCTGAACAGGGCTTATATTTCCACTTACTTAAGTCTTCCTTATGTCTTTAAAACAGTTTATAACTTTCTGCATAAAGGTCACATCATTACGCTACCTCTCAGTTTTTGTAATTCTAAGTAATATCTTTTTTAAAACCTATTACTGGCCAAAAAGAATGCCAGTGGACAAAGAATACCAGTAGATGAAGAATACTAGTGGATGAAGAATACCAGTGGGAAAGAATACCAGTGGATGAAGAATACCAGTGGGGAAGAATACCAGTGGGAAATAATGCTAGATGAAGAATGCCAGTGGGAAAGAATACTAGTAGATGAAGAATACCAGTGGGAAAGAATACCAGTTGATGAAGAATACCAGTGGGAAAGAATACGAGTGGATGAAGAATACCGGTAGATGAAGAATACCAGTGGATTAAGAATACCAGTGGGAAAGAATACCAGTGGGAAAGAATACCAGTGGATGAAGAATACCAGTGTTAAAGAATACCAGTGGATGAAGAATACCAGTGGGAAAGAATACCAGTGGATGAAGAATACCAGTAGATGAAGAATACCAGTGGGAAAGAATACCAGTGGATGAAGAATACCAGTAGATGAAGAATACCAGTGGATGAAGAATACCAGTGGGAAAGAATACCAGTGGATGAAGAATACCAGTGGATGAAGAATACCAGTGGGAAAGAATACCAGTGGATGAAGAATACCAGTAGATGAAGAATACCAGTGGGAAAGAATACCAGTGGATGAAGAATACCAGTGGGAAAGAATACCAGTGGATGAAGAATACCGGTAGATGAAGAATACCAGTGGATGAAGAATACCAGTGGGAAAGAATACTAGTGGGAAAGAATACCAGTGGATGAAGAATACCAGTGGATGAAGAATACCAGTGTTAAAGAATACCAGTGGATGAAGAATACCAGTGGGAAAGAATACCAGTGGATGAAGAATACCAGTAGATGAAGAATACCAGTGGGAAAGAATACCAGTCGGAAAGAATACCAGTGGATGAAGAATACCGGTAGATGAAGAATACCAGTGGATGAAGAATACCAGTGGGAAAGAATACCAGTGGATGAAGAATACCAGTGGGAAAGAATACCAGTGGATGAAGAATACCAGTGGGAAAGAATACCAGTGGATGAAGAATACCGGTAGATGAAGAATACCAGTGGATGAAGAATACCAGTGGGAAAGAATACTAGTGGGAAAGAATACCAGTGGATGAAGAATACCAGTGGATGAAGAATACCAGTGTTAAAGAATACCAGTGGATGAAGAATACCAGTGGGAAAGAATACCAGTGGATGAAGAATACCAGTAGATGAAGAATACCAGTGGGAAAGAATACCAGTAGATGAAGAATACCAGTGGATGAAGAATACCAGTGGGAAAGAATACCAATGGATGAAGAATACCAGTGGATGAAGAATACCAGTGGGAAAGAATACCAGTGGATGAAGAATACCGGTAGATGAAGAATACCAGTGGATGAAGAATACCAGTGGGAAAGAATACTAGTGGGAAAGAATACCAGTGGATGAAGAATACCAGTGTTAAAGAATACCAGTGGATGAAGAATACCAGTGGGAAAGAATATCAGTGGATGAAGAATACCGGTAGATGAAGAATACCAGTGGATGAAGAATACCAGTGGGAAAGAATACCAGTGGATGAAGAATACCAGTGTTAAAGAATACCAGTGGATGAAGAATACCAGTGTTAAAGAATACCAGTGGATGAAGAATACCAGTGTTAAAGAATACCAGTGGATGAAGAATACCAGTGTTAAAGAATACCAGTGGATGAAGAATACCAGTGGGAAAGAATACCAGTGGATGAAGAATACCAGTGGATGAAGAATACCAGTGGGAAAGAATACCAGTGGATGAAGAATACCAGTAGATGAAGAATACCAGTGGGAAAGAATACCAGTGGATAAAGAATACCAGTGGATGAAGAATACCAGTGGATGAAGAATACCAGTGGGAAAGAATACCAGTGGATGAAGAATACCAGTGTTAAAGAATACCAGTGGATGAAGAATACCAGTGGGAAAGAATACCAGTGGATGAAGAATACCAGTAGATGAAGAATACCAGTGGGAAAGAATACCAGTGGATGAAGAATACCGGTAGATGAAGAATACCAGTGGATGAAGAATACCAGTGGGAAAGAATACCAGTGGATGAAGAATACCAGTGGGAAAGAATACCAGTGGATGAAGAATACCGGTAGATGAAGAATACCAGCGGATAAAGAATACCAGTGGGCTGGGTGCAGTGGCTCACACTTGTAATCCCCGCACTTTGGGAGGCAGAAGCGGATGGATCACAAGGTCAGGAGATCAAGGCCATCCTGGCCAACATGGTGAAACCCTGTCTCAACTAAAAATACAAAAATTAGCCAGCCATGGTGGTGCATGCCTGTCATCCCAGCTACTTGGGAAGCTGAGGCAGGAGAATCACTTGAACCCAGGAGGTAGAGGTTGCAGTAAGCCAAGATCGCACCACTGCACTCCAGCCTGGGTGGTGACAGAGCAAAACTACATCTCCAAAAAAAAAGAATGCCGGTGGACAAAGAATACCAGTAGATGAAAAATACCAGTGGGCTGGGTGCAGTGGCTCACAATTGTAATCCCCGCACTTTGGGAGGCAGAAGTGGATGGATCACAAGGTCAGGAGATCAAGACCATCTTGGCCAACACGGTG